GCCGTCGCGCGACTCGATTTATGCGTCGTTAATCAAAAACCCTTTCATCGACACGTTTTGGTACGTCGGCCTCGCCGGAATCAGCGTCGGCGGCTGGCGGCTGCCGATTCCGCCGTACCTCCTCGAGCTCGGCCGCAATGGGAGGGGTGGCGTGATTGTGGACTCTGGCACGGCCGTGACGCGGTTCCCGAGGAAGGTGTATCGGGTGCTCCGGGATGCGTTCGTGGGCATGGCGACGGGGCTGCCGAGGGCCGCAGTCGGGTTCTCGTTGTTCGACACGTGTTACGATCTGTCGGGCGTGCGAAGGGTGTCAGTTCCAACGGTGTCGTTCGAGTTCGCCGGCGGAGGGACGTTGAGGCTTCCGGCGGCAAACTACATGGTGCCGGTGGACGGCCGTGGGAAGTTTTGTTTCGCTTTCGCCGGAATGGAGGGAACCATGTCAATCATCGGGAACGTGCAGCAACAAGGGACACGTGTCGTCTACGACGTGGCTAATAGACGCATTGCTTTTAGCCCCAATAAGTGCTAGGAATTTACGAAATCAACACACATTCAGCGGATTTGTGTGTGTGAAGTTATTGTGTTCTGGACACGAAGTATATATTGTGAAGTATGATTTTTGGAAGCAATACTGCAAAATGTGAAAGTATGATTCAACTATGGTCCTCGAAAATACAGAATCAAGAAACTTAGCAGATAACTGCATACAAACTCGTACTCCCACACAATAGTCATCACGCATCAACAATTTAGCTCGATCAACAAGATGCATTTATACCACAATATCGAAATCGAACTCGAGGAGTTCATTATTCTATCATGAATATATAAACATGATAATCGCAAGGATATCACGGGACTTGCACGATATTACAATACCTACACGATATCAAAATTCGAAAAGGCAAAGAAAGTGAACATACAACAAAGCTTAGAGCCCCTGCGTTTGATGATGAATCATTTCAACAGCCTGCAAGATTAGAAAAAAGGCAGTAATCAGTGAAGTACTCAATCTAGCTAAATGAAAATCTTTTTGAAAAAATAAATAAATAAAAAAAAATTGAAAACCTGAATTGACAGCGATTATCCACGAGCATTCAAACAAAAATGCGTTGGTTCATCTAATACAATTGGACTGCAATTTACATATGCATCTTCCAAAAAAATAAATAGGATGCCATATTTGCTTTTGCCTAAAATTGATGCAAAGGCTATCGTTTTGAAAAATAAAAATAAAAGAAACAGTTTGATGCAAAGGGTCTTAAGTCTCGAAGGTCCAGTTCATAAGTACTTATTGTCTGGTCACTATTATATTCTCCGATGTCAATAGTGAAGTTATACAAAATCATAATCCAATTAATTACTGCCATGGGGCATGAACAATTTAACATCGACACTCATACACTGGAGATGCTCTAAAAGGCCAACACAAATTTTCGAGTCGAGCAAAGAAAAAGAAACAATATAAACAAAAAAAAGTAGTTCCATTTAAAGCACCACAATTAGGTGACTCTATTCTCTATTTCCATTTACTATATGGACATGTGCACCTAATAAAACAGAAGAGACCACAAAAGTCATTTGCTCAGATAAAATTGAGGATCAAATTATTGTTCATCCAACTCTTGCCCGTATATCATTATATGGAAGGATGCACCAATTTGAGTGTCACTGCATAATGATTCTATTGATTCAAACTGTTTTTCATATCGGTCTTCACTATTATCCTATAGGAAATCCAAGGCTGACTTTTCAAAAATTAATATTTCTTCATGGTGATGAAATAAAAATTCTGATACAATCTCTGTGGAAGAACAGAGAATTTCGGTAAAATATCACCATATGTTTGAGTTTTTGCAAAAATATCATCCATATCTATAATCAACACAACACAAACGACATATATTACGACTTAAAGGAAATATTTTTCTAAAGAGAATCACAAAATATTATTTTTTCCAAATTTCCCACCAAAGATCATTCTTAACTCACCCATTCTCACTATGAAACCGACTGTTTCACCTAAATTCCTAATCTATTTATCAGCCGATTAATTCAGTAAAATATCAACTTATGTTTGAGTTTGCAAAAATACCATCCGTGTCTATGGCCAACACAACACAAACTGACAAACGACATATATTACAACTAAAAGGAAATGTTTTTTAAAGAGAATCAAAAGATGGTATTTTTTTTCAAAATTCCCACCAAAAATCATTCTTAACTCACCCTCATTTTCACTACGAAACCGACTGTTTCGCTCAAATTCCGAATATTTTTATCAGCCGATTTCGATTCGAATACTACCCTATAACTGACCAATAAGGCAACTCTTGGGCAGGACTAATACCATATTCTTTTGCAACAAAAATGCATACTTTCAAAATGGAAAGCCAAACTCTAAAAAGTAACATAAACAAAAGTATACGACATCACATAACATAAGCATGCATTTTTGTCACAAAGGCACAAAGGATCGACTCGCCTAATTGTTAGACCGTCCCACACAAGAATTTGTAATAACCGGAAGTAAATAAACCAAAAACTACACAAATCTTGAAAAGAAAAACAGCATAAGAAGAGAAAAAAATGCATACCTTCTGCAGAACTCAGATGTGTACCTAAAGCCATTATAGCAAACAAACCACATCAACACAACCACCAGTGTGTCTACACACAAAACGTTAAGGTCCTTCCACAAATCACATCACACCAAATAAATATATATTTTTTTTATTTTAAAAAGACACAAGATTAGAAATTATCCGACCAAATTAAACACCTTAATCAGATCCCATTTCCAAATCCCTAATTTTTAGCACAACTAAACCGATTTCAAAACCAAAACAAGAACATTCGAACAGATCTGACAAACAATTTAAAAAA